AGCAGAACCTGCCCAATGTCTTTGTGTTCCTCCTGGGGCTCACTCTGGGCACTATGTAGCTTTGTGGGAAGCTGCTGGGCGTGGCATGGCAGCTGGGTGGCTGCCTGGGGCCAGAAAGGTGAAGGAGATGTGAGACCATGTACAGCCTTGGCGGGGTGTGTTTGTTGGGCAGTGTTACATTTCCTTGGGGGCTTCCCACCAGTTCTGGCAAACCTGTTCTCCACGTCCTCTCCACTTGCTAATTCTGCTACAAATTCATCCTTATTAGCTCCTGCCTGTTAGCAGAATTCTTTCCAGTCCTCTTGTCCTCCTTTGTTTGCCATCAGCGAGGGCTGTGCTGTGATTCTGTCTCTAAGTGACTTGGACCACTGACCCTCAGATTTCCAGCCTTAAAATCCACCTTCCTTCTCATGCGCCTCTCTGAATCACAGCCTGACCATTCCAGACTCCCTGTCCAGATCTTCTCAGCCTCTTTCAGTCACCATCTGTCATAGAATAACACCGAGAAAGACATCTTGCATGTTCTTTCCGTTTCTGTTCTGTTCTCCTGCATATTCTCTTCAATGCTCAGGAACCCTGCCCTATGCTTGAGAGTTCAGGGCCAGACACACGCTTGCAGGCCTCCACATTGGGTCCCTGTCTCTGGTGCCCACAGAGAGCTCCTTCTTTGCTGATCAGGCATGGAGACTGTAGGTTTCCAGATTTCCTGAAAAATAAAAGTTTACAACATCATCTATCCACAACCTCACTAAACGATTGGCCAAGAGATTTCTGTCCTAGTTGCCCAGAATTCTGTCTTCTGGCTACTCACGGCTATCAGGGAATGGGGCAAGTCTGCACTGGCAGCTGGCCAGGATGAAGGCAGCAGGAAGTGGGTGGAGGGTTAGCCAACCTGTAGGGTCTGAAGAATGGGAAAAGTGGCCCCAAATCCTCCAGAATGCTTGACCTGTTGAACCAGAATGTTTTGTTATTTAGTCTTGGCCTATATTCATGCACTTAAGCAGCAAGCAATCATGGACAGGCTGATAAAGAAACACTTCTGTTTCCTGGTTACAGTCTCTGGCTGGATCTGAGGAACCACTGAGTTTGCTTCAATGACTTTCCTTTTTTTTTTTTTAATTGAGATGGAGTCTCACTCTGTTGCTCAGGCTGGAGTGCAAGTGGCACGATCTCGGCTCAATGTAACCTCCACCTCCCAGGTTCAAGCGATTCTCCTGCCTCAGCCTCCTGAGTAGCTGGGATTACAAGTACCCACCACCACGTCTGGCTAATTTTTTTGTATTTTTAGTAGAGACGGGTTTCATCATGTTGGTCAGACTGGTCTCCAACTCCTGACCTCAGGTGACCTGCCCACCTCGGCCTCCCAAAGTGTTGGGATTACAGGTGTGAGCCACTGCGCCCAGCCTTCAATGACTTTCTAAGTGTGATGGGGACCACAAGTCAATCAGCCAGAGCAGATGATTTCAATCATGGATCCCCAGATCCATGTAGATGAGAAGGTGGAATGCAATTGTAGCTGTGGTTCCAAGGGCAGCACAGACAGGACTGTGCGTTGCTGCAAACCAGTTGGCACTAAACCTTAAGTCGTATACAAAGGGTGAAACCCACTTTATTTGGGTTCTGTAGAAAATGTAATTTGCAAATGGACTCTCTTTTCAGTCTGTATGGTTCTGAAGTTCTCTAGGCAAAGGATTTTGTACTAATGAGTAGGAGGTGTGTATCCACATCAAAATGTCTCCACATGTACAGGAGAATGGAGACTTTAGGCTTTACTAATAGGTGCTAGAATTAATCTGGGTATTCATGTGTACTGTTCCTTTGTGGCGCCTGTACCACTCTTTGCTTTTGACTGGCATTAAGGTTTAGAAAATGCATACGTTGGTATCAGGATGGAGTAAAGAGAGTACACCATAGGGAGTTTCCCCTTCTGGGGCCTCCACAATCTGCATGTAATTAAATGGTGCATGTAAGATAAACATAAACAAGAAGATCACATAACACCCACAGAACCCACAGCTTCCCATAAGTAGAAAAGAAGACACCAGATTGTAGCAAAGCTATCTCCTCAACTTCTGCTGCAAGCCTTTATGGAGACCTAATGAGTCTGGAAATATTGTACATAGGAAGCAGGTTCACTGTGAATGGGTTATCAGTTTGTCTGAGTCCAGTGAGATGGAGCAGCACCCCCCGCTCCAAGTTAATTGAAGTGAACTAGTAGTCTAAAATAATCAAGTCTTCAAAGAAAGCCAAAAAGTAGAGAAAATGTAACAGAATAAATGGGAGAAATAGCAACCTGGTAGATTTAAACACATGCATTCAGACTGAAATACAAGATTGACAGACTTGAATAAAAATTTCAAGCTGATTGCTGTTTCAAGAGACACACTTAAAATATGAGGATACAGGAGGGTTGAACATGAAAGGATAGGAAAAGATAGATCTTTTTACACAGTGGAAAATAAAATCTGAATGGTTAGTAGCAATGGCAAACAAAATAGACTTTGGGTGAAAGTATTACCAGAGACAACATAGGTCCTCATTATAAAATGAGGACCGACTGTTTCCCTGGAAGGTATAATACCTGAAACTACAATTGTTCATATATATGCATGTAATGAGTAGCCTTATGGGTATAGAGGAAAAATTGCTATAACACCAAGGAAAAATAGAATTATAGTGGAAGAACTATAAAAACATCTTAATGAAAAATTTCAAACATTCACAAAAGTAGAGCTTCTTTATGCCCAGGATTCAGCTTCAATGATTATTAACTCCTGGCAAATTCTCTTTTCTTATGCTGCCACCCACATTTAACCTTGTTTACCCCCACAACCTATTATTTTGAAGCAAATCTAAGAAATCATAAGACTGAATCTGTAAATGCTTCAGAATGTACCTTAAGAGCCAATTTCCTTCCTTCCTTCCTTCCTTCCTTCCTTCTTTCCTTCCTTCCCTTCTTTCCTTCCTTCCCTTCTTTCCCTTCCTTCCCTTCTTTTCCTTCCCTCCCTTCCTTTCCTTCCCTCCCTTCCTTCTTTTTTGACAAAGTCTCACTCTGTTTCCTGAGCTGGAGTGCAGTGGCGCGATCTTGGCTCACTGCAACCTCCAACACCCGGGTTCAAGCAATTATCCCACCTCAGCCTCCCAGGTAGCTGGGGCCACAGGCATGCACCACCACGCCGGGCTAATTTTTGCAGTTTTAGTAGAGACGGGGTTTCACTGTGTTGGCTAGGCTGTCCTTGAACTCCTGACCTTATGTTCTGCCCGCCTCGCCTACCAAAGTGCTAGGGTTACAGGCGTGAACCACTGCACCTGGCCAGAATTTCTTTATAAGATGTTTATAACCACAATTACATAGAACTCTTCTCCAAAGCAACAATAACTACTTAATACAATCAAAATTTGGGTTCAAATAATCCTGATACTCCTATAATATCTTAGAGTCCATTGGAATCATGCTATTTAAAACGTTAACGAATCTGATACCTGACTCTTCATATCTCTTTCCATTTGATTTTTCTTAGTAGCATTTGCCATTAATGTACTATATATTTTATTTCTTAGTGTGTTTAGTATCAGTTTGCCTGGCAGAACAATGCCTGGCATAATAAACAGCTATCAGCCAGGCATGGTGGCTCATGCCTGTAATCCCAGCACTTTGGGGGGCCAAGGCGGGTGGATCTTGTGAGGTCAGGAGTTCAAGACCAGCCTGGCCAACATGGTGAAACCCTGTCTCTACTAAAAAATACAAAAATCAGCCGAGTGTGGTGGTAGGCGCCTGTAATCCCAGCTACTCAGGAGGCTGAGACAGGAGAATTGCTTGAACTTGAGAGGCAGAGGTTGCAGTAAGCTGAGATTGCACCACTGGACTCTAGCCTGGGTGACAAGTGAGACTGTGTCTCAAAAAAAAAAATAAATAAATAAAAAAATAAATAAATGCTATCAATATAATTGTTGAATAAATAAAAATCTTGGAGTTTGATAACAAATCCTTTATTTTGCTAATGCATTATGAAAAGTACAAGAATAAGACGAACTGGAGCCTTGTGATGTCTGGTAAACCTGGCCCTTCCCACACTTCTCTCTCTCCCTCCTCTCTTCTCTCTTCCTCCACAGTAGGTATGGCTAGGTGAGGGATGCACAAATGCATAGGCATGTAATGCTTTAAATTCCAATGAGAAAAAATAACACCTATAGACTGAAGAAGGCAGGAACAGTACAAGCAGAATTCAAGGACCCACTGCAACCAAGGATTCCTCTGCTTGTTTAGAGGTGCACTGAAAGCCTTTCCTAAAGGAAGTCTTAGAGTTTGAGGATAGAGAGTGTAAAGGGGGCTACCGGACCTAGTGATCCCTGCCCTCACTGGGGCTGACATTGCACGGAGGCAGAATTACAACCTGTCTTCAGCGTGTGCTCTTGGAAATTACGGAAAGATTCACCAGTCCTATTTCAGGATACTCATTCGGAATGATAGTGTCAGCTTTTGAATTTCAGTCCTCCAGGGACAGACCTGGACTTCCAGAGGTAGGACTCTAGCCTCTCTTACCTTCTAAAGAGACACTAAGAGGTAGACTCCAGGGATGGTAGATTGATTTCCCTTGAGGATCCCCTTCCAGGGAGGTCTTGGGCTTGGAACATCAGCTCAAGATTTTAAGTAAGTCTCTCAGGAAACAGACCAGGGGGCTGGCAGTATGAGGTAGTAGAGGCAGTCAGAAGGGAACTAGAGTAGGTAAATTCACACAGCCTTGGCAAAAGAGAGATGGGTCCCATGGAGATAGAGCGTTCATCAGCGCGATTTACTGAGGTCCCTGCCGTTCCTGGCTCACAGTAACGATTTTCCAGGCAGGAGGGCTGTGATCACACGGACAGAGCAGGGTTAAGGATGGACTCACCAACCCCTCCTACTGACTGCTGGTAGTTCGGTAGAGCAAGGATAGATTACCCAATGGAGCACGAGGGAGGAGGGGCAGAGGGCAAGAGGGGATGCACAGAAGAGAAGACTGGCAGGATCCTCACTTCTACCTCTTCCCACACCCAGTGCCTTTGGCGCACTGAGGTGCACAGGGTCCCTTAGACCGGCGCAGGGCGCGCAGCCCAGGCTGAGATCCGCGGCTTCCGTAGAAGTGAGCATGGCTGGGCAGCGGTTGCTGCTTCTAGTGGGCTTCCTTCTCCCTGGGGTCCTGCTCTCAGAGGCTGCCAAAATCCTGACAGTATCTACAGTAGGTGAGTGCTTGGTCGGAGAATTCCCAGACAGGCGCGTCCCGGATACCCGCACTGCCAGGGCTCCAGCGAACGGCGCTTGATCAGAGTCATCCAGGCGATTTTCCAGGCTGGGCTTGCGGACCCGGCTGGAGGAGGGGGAAGCCCATCCAGTTGTGGGGCAGAGAGGGGCCTCTGTTGCTGAGGTGGGGAAGATAGTTTTGGAGAAAAGAGACTCTCCGTTTCTCCCTCTTCTTCAGGAAGCGCTCCCCATCCCGCAGGGTTGGGGCCAGAAATTTGAGACTCATCCCAGAGTTTGAGACCCTGGGCTGCCTTCTCCAGAGCGCAGGGGGACTTTCAAAGGCTCATCCTAAGCTCCAGAGGGTGCGTGTGTGTGGGTGCACAGTAGCTTCCAGTAGAAACGGTGGTGAGCGTTTTCAGCTCTTGGAGACCAGGGAAAGGCGCTCCTGAGGGCAGCACTATAAATGTTGTGAAGCTGCGTCCGGAGCCAGGGTGGCGCAGGCAGGTATTTCATGGCTGCAAGGCCAGTGGAGTGTTTTCCTCCAGGGAAGACCTGGAGAACTGCCCAGGGCTGAGGAGAGGACCCAGGTCATTCGGATCTTTTGGAGTCTCCTTCCTTTTACCTGTGCCGCTGACCGTTTTTGAGGGATTCGTAGAACTGTTAATTCAGCATTTTGGGTCTCAGTTTTACTTCTTTTACTTTTACCCCAAAGGGAATAGGATATAAAAGAGAAGCATATATGAACATAAAGGGATCATCCCAGGATCGAGCTTCCCCAAGATTTTATTTCAACCCATAGTGGGTTCTAATGGATTCCTTTTATTACTTAGAATCAGGGCTCCTAGAACTGGGAGGAACCACAGATCATCTAATTTAGTGCCCATTTTGATTTCCTGAGAGGGCAACTGAGGGATGGGGAGTGAGATGCCTTCCTTAAGAGCACATGTGGCCTCCCTGATGTCCCATGAGGAATTAACTCAGGGTTTTCTTACTGCAAGACCACGCTCACAACGACTTCCACTCTGAAGCCCTTTTCACTGGGGATTTTCAAAAATTACTGTTTAAGAAACAGTGCAAGTCCGTTTGAAGACTCCCCCCACCCCCTTTCTGAGTGTTAGTCTCAGTGAAGCAACAGAGCTTCTTAACTTCTTGAAAGTACACCGTCCTCCTTCCTCAGGCTCCAAGAAGGAGTTGGTATCGTTTCTGAGGTGCTGGAATCCCGATTTTTGCCCCAGAAAGCCACCTGACTTCCCAGGATCCACCACTAACAGCTGTTTCTGTGGGGACCCCTTCTTCCTGGCTCCCTGTTCTTACATGGATTAAAATGTGAGCAAGATCTGTTGCGGATTTGTACTTTATACATCGCTTGTTGCTCTAGACTATTCAAGCTGGTTATAAGTAAACTGAGTCATGCAGAGAGCTGCACACTACTTCTCTACTCCCTTCCACCTCCACCCCCAAACTTTTGGTATTTACCATTACATTACCTTCTCTTCTGATCTTCCTTTCTCTGCTGCTGAGAACCTTACATTCAAGCAAAGGCTATGTACTAGAACATATACTGAGAAGACATTGATTTCATGGAACTTGTACCTCTTTTGAGGATCCAGCTTCTCTTTCCTTTGGATGGTAGGATTTTTCTGGAATCAGGGATTCCCTAGTCTGTCGTGCAACCAGGATCCAGCAGGCCCACCCCAAGGGCCCCACATTTGTCCTCAAATGTCTTAATTAGAACTTGATCATTGTTTGGCCTAAATTAAGTACATCCTTTCCAAATACATTAGAATCTTAAAGATTTGGATTCTAAGTAGTAGTCCCTCATTTCTTCCCTTCCAGTGATGATTTCTTGGACAGATCTCTTAAGGTTTCCATCTCCTACAGCAGCATAAATGTCCAAAGAGCAGGATCCCAGAAACAGTTCTCATTGTTTTTTAGGAACTATTCACACTCATATGTACAACACCATACCTGTATTTCCACCAATGCTGTGATTTCTTTTGGACTCTGTGTTTCCATAAGGCCTTAGTTAAAATGTACATGTACCTCAGGATGAGGAACTCCCATGGCCTAAGCACATAGTAACTCATTACACTGACATGGATACTGTGATTCACAAGAGGCAATCTCTCACGGACCAGAGCCACAGGTAAAAATTTGGGTGGTCGTGCTCTGGGTGAGTGGGCTGGGTTTTACCTAGAGGGACATGAGGAGACTGACAAAACTCATCTTCCTCCACTCACTATCCACTTCCTGTTCCCCTATCTTTCCTCTCCTGGATTGATCACTATCGACTTTAGACACGGTGTTCTCATCATTCCAGAACTGAAATTGTGCATTGTTCCTAGGTGGAAGCCATTATCTACTGATGGACCGGGTTTCTCAGATTCTTCAAGATCACGGCCATAATATCACCATGCTTAACCACAAAAGAGGTCCTTTTATGCCAGGTATCTTTTCTCACTTTTCTTGATTTCTTCTACTCCAAGCAAAGAGCAAAATATTGTTTGCATAGAAAGGCTTAGCAAAATTTTTTTTAAAATTCTAATTCAATTGGAAGGATGAAAAGCCTGTGTGTGTGTGTGTGTGTGTGTGTGTGTGTGTGTAAAGTGCCAAAAAGCTTCTTAGGCTCTAATTACCAGGACTTGACACTCCATACTCCCATATTTTTTTCCCCTTACTTGACCTCTACTCCATCCCAAGCAACCATCCACTCATTATTATGGATTATTTTAACAAATACTACTTAATAAGATGGCTTAAAAAATATATTAAACAGGGTTGGGCAAGGTGGCTCACACCTGTAATCCCAGCACTTTAGGAGGCTGAGACAGGTGGATCACTTGAGACCAGCCTGAGCAACACAGGGACACTCTGTCTCTACAAAAAATACAAAAATTAACTTGACATGGTGGCACCCACTTGTAATTCCAGCTACTTGGGAGGCTGAGGGTGGAGGATTGCTTGAGCCAGAAGGCAGAGGTTGCAGTGCTGGGAATGCACCACTGCACTAGAGCCTGGGTAACAGAGTGAGGCTCCATCTCAAAGACTGTCTGTCTATAGATAGAACAGAAATATTCAGCCTTATTTAACACTTCTTACATGTAAGAATCACTTTTCTTTTTATAGATTACTTTTCCTCTTTTTATGATATTGGAATGTAAGTAAGCTCTCGCAGGGAGCCCCTTATTTATGTAGCTAAGTTAGGAGTCTATGGCTGAGATGGTTTTGCATTCTTGAAAAATAAGTGGCTGCCCACAAGTTTGTGCATAGTGATTTCAGATATTCTTAATGGAGTCATTGAATCCAAAGAATTTTAGCCAAAATGAAGCTCATACATCTTATGAACTCCTCTGTTGATCCACAAGGAAACAGAAACCCTGAGAACTTAACAGACTTGCTTGATAACAGAGTTGGGTGGATTAGGACTTTATGCTCCAAATTGCTCAATATGAAAGTGTTGCTCCAGGAAAAGCCCAAACTCCAGCATCATGTAATACACCCAGGCAACACACCTGGACGTGCACCCCCTGAAGCTATAATTTAAAAAAAGAAAAAAAACTCAAAAGCAAGCATCTTTGAGGAAGAAAATTCTGAGATATTTTCAACCTTTGAAGGTAACATCAGTCCTTGTTATTGTTCAGATTTCTAAAACCTTTTTGAGACAGAGTCTCGCTCTGTTGGCCAGGCCGCAGTACAGTGGCATGACCTTGGCTCACTGCAACTTCCATCTCTCGGGCTCAAGCAATTCTCCTGCCTCAGCCTCCTAAGTGGCTGAGATTACAGGCGTGTGCCACCATGCCCGGCTAATTTTTGTATTTTTAGTAGATATGGGGTTTCATCATGTTGACCAGGCTGGTCTCGAACTCCTGACCTTAAGTAATCCTGCTGCCTTGGCCTCCCAAAGTGCTGGGATTACAGGTGTGAACCACTGCGCCTGGCCAAAACCATTTTTTAATCTACATTTTTTCATTTAAATTTTAAAATTTCATTGTGGTGAAATATATATAACATATAATCTACCATTTTAGCCATTTTTTAAAAAAATTGAGTCAGAGTCTCGCTCTGTCTCCCAGGTTGGAGGGCAGTGACGTGATCTTGGCTCACTGCAGCCTCCATCACCTAGGTTCAAGCGATTCTTGTACCTTAGCCTCCCAAGTAACTAGGACCACAGGCGGGCGCCATTAGGCGTGCAGCACCACGCCTGGCTAATTTTTTTGTATTTTTAGTAGAGACAGGGTTTCGCCATGTTCGCCAGGCTGGTCTTGAACACTCCTGACCTCAGGTGATCTGCCTGCCTTGGCCTTCAAAGTGCTAGGATTACAGGAGTGAGCCACTGCACCTGGCCCCATTTTCAAATGTACCGTTTAGAGGCTTTAAGGACATTCACATTGTTGTAGAACCATTATTACCATCCGTTTTCAGAAGTTTGTCATCATCACGAAGTGGAACTCTACTTATTAAACAGTGACTCCCTGTGACTGACAGCCACTCTTACTTCTTGAGACCATCACTATGACAGTTATTACTGTTACTGCTTGAGACCTCATTCGGCTGACGGAGACGGGAGAAATGAAAACTTAAAGAAACTGTTGTAAGAAAGTGGACAGGGAAGAGAAAAGAGCTCCCTGCTTATAGTGGAGCAAAGGGCAGCTGGTTGAACTTCCATAACCTTCTTTTTTTTTTTTTTTTTTTTGAGACGGAGTCTCGGCTCTATCCTCTCAGGGCTGGATGCAGCCGGGGTGGCCATTCTCCAGCCTCACTCGCAAGTCTCCACCTCCCGGTTCTACGCCAGATTCTCCTGGCGTCGGCCTCACCCGAGTAGCTGGGACTACAGGCACCCGCCATACTCACCCGGGCTCAGTTTTTCTAGTTTGTATTTTTAGTAGAGACGGGTTTCACGTATTAGCCAGGATGGTCCTCGATTCTCCTGACCTGTGATCCACCCGTCTGGCGTATTTATCAGGTACAATAAACAGGGAGGAGGAGGTAACGATCGTCAGGTCTTGTATTGATCACAGTTTCATATTATATACTAACAGGCTTCAGATTTGCCTAATCACAAGAAACACTGTAACTGGGGTGTAACTGCCCTCCAGCATTCCTTCTGGGTGCGCAGACGCAGTTTGGTCAGTTTTGCCAACATTCTGCATTTATGAGAAACAGTTTGCTGTTTACTCACATAGTCTCCAGTGGTATACTGAGTTGATCACAGTCCTCACTCCTTTTGGCCTCCAACATTTCTCCCTTTTTGTTTTTAATTGAGAAAGGCAATTACAGGCTGTGCAGCCCTCAATTGCCGGTTGGTGGTCCAGCTGATCTTACAGATGCACAGGAAACCACGGCCCGCATGGCCACAAACATGGAATCAGGGGTTTTTGCCTGACCTTGATGCTCTAACAGTTTCTCAGCTTCCTGTGTGGTTTTCTTGATCTGTCTGCATGTCATGGGGTTGATGTGAGTGTGACTCCAGTCAGTCCTCGTTCCATCTTCACATTCAGATTCAACTGGCTCATGGCTTGTACTGGGGGAACCAGGCCTGTGTTTGGAATCCATGGGTCCCCCCAGTCTCCCATTCCATGGTCGCACACACCTTGGGAGCACCCACATGGTTTGTTCATTCTTTGTGAAAACACAAACATACCCTGGTCCCCACGTTAGTAAATCTACCAAAACAAAAGCAAAGGTTTTTGTAGCTGTAGCCAGGAGGCAGGCTGTTGCTGAAGCATCTGCTCCACAAGCTGCAACGCAGTTTCTGCCTCTTTTGGTTAATTGCTGCGGGGTAAAACTTTCCATTGCTAACGAGAAACAGGCTCTTTCTGATTAACAGAAGACACAGAGAAAGCAAATCTAAGGCTTATCCTTCTCGTGCCCAGTTCCCACATCTTAAGCTCTGAGAAAACCTCCCAAGTCCTCTGCACATCTCGCAGGTGCCAGCACATGTTTACAATCCATGAAAGCCAAAGCTAAAGTTAGCCTTTCTGTAGCCACAGAAGACGGTACAAGCCAATTTTCATCCTCCCTCTCCTGTTCACCACCCTCAATAGGTGCTGTAGGTGGGGCAAAAAATTCTTTCAGACACTGAAATAATAACAAAAAGATGGTACGTACCAAACTCCAAACAAAAAAGAGAAAAGAAATAACCAAATTCTTCCCCATGTTATTTTGATTCAGAAACTTCCCGTTCTTCGTACCTCTAGGGCACTGACCTTATGTTGCTGCCAGCAGACTTGTAACGGGGTTTCTCGTTCATCTGGTTGGTTTTAATTTTTTCTGGGCTTTAGTTTTTTTCTGCTCCAGCAGACCTTCCTTGCTCGAGTCCCTATAGGACCCTATGTGTCCCTATCTGTTCCTGCAAGTTTCTGCTAGTCTATGCTAGTCTTTATCCCTATTTGTCCCTGTGGTCCCTGTTAGTTCCTGCAAGTCCCTGTCTTTCCCTACCTATCTCTATTTGTCTCTATCTCTATTTATTTCTATTTATCCCTACTTATTTCTATTTGTCCCTGCAGGTCCCTTCAGGTCTCTGTTTGTCCCTGAATGTCCCTATTTATCCCTGTTCAGGCGCCACTTGTGGCGGACTGCCACAATTACTACTTGTTACTATCATTACGAGAGACATTACTCTTACTACCTGAGACTGTCATTACGAGACTGAATGAAAGAGGACAACCATAGAAATGAAAACCTAAGACAAAAGAAACTGTTATAAAGAAGGGGGCCAGGGGAAGAAGAAAAGAGTGCTCCACTTCTAGTGAGCAAAGGCAGCTGCTGAGCTTCCATAACACTTTGTATTTATTGGGTAGAAAGAGTGGAGGAGGAGGTAACGATTGGTCAGCTGCTTGATTGATCACAGTTTCATATTATTACTAATAGGCTTGAGATTTGCCTAATCACAAGAAACACTGTACTTGGGGCGTGACTGCCCTCAGCATTCCTTCTGGGTGGCAGACGCAGTTTGTCAGTTTGCCAACATTCTGCGATTATGAGAAACAGTTTGCTGTTTACTCATATAGTCTCCAGTGGTATACTGAGTTGATCTTGACCCTCACTCTTTCGGCCTCCAACAACTCCCCATTACCCTCTACCTTCAGCCCCTGATAACCATATTCTATTTTATTTTTCTATTAATTTGACTATTCTGGTTACAGCGTATAAGTGAAATAATACAATATTTGTCCTTTTGTGTCTGGCTTGCTTTACTTAGCATAATATCTTCAAGGTTCATTCATATTTAATGTGTGTTAGACCTTCTTTTTTATGGCTGGATATTCAATTTTATGGATATATCACATTTTGTTTATCCATTAATCCATTGATGGGCATTTAGGTTTTTTCCACTTTTTGACTATTGTGAATAATGCTGCTATGAACACTGGTATACAAATATCTTTCTGAGTCCCTGCTTAAAACCATTTTAGTATCTTTTACGTTTGTTTTCATATTCTTCGCT